TATAGAGGACGAGCAGTGTGGCTGGGAGGGTTGAGTCAGGGGGTTGAAGAACTGGGTGAGTCAGGTTGAAGAAGGGGGTTGAAGGCCTCCAAAGTAGCTGTGGTCGTACCTGCATGTCCCCAAAAGTGGGGGGTGGATGGGGTGGAGTCTTAAGGGGAACGGAAGAAAAGAGTCAAAGAGGAAGTGGGGGGAGGGAGGTAGAGGAGGCAAGATCTGGCGCCATGCTGAGTCACCGCCCACAAGCCCCAGGGCAGGCCCTCTAAGGCCACTGCATTGGGTGGTGGGGTGCTCTGAAGACCTCGGGAGGGCTGGGGGCTTCAAAACAGGACTCTGGAGGAGAAGCGGGTGGCCTGAAGAGTGCACGCACACGGCTAGACAGACAGTGCAGTCACCCATAAAGTAGAAAGCACTACTAACAGCACTGGAGGGTGTAGTGTTTCCTACTTTATGGATGAGTGTACTGTGGGCTTCGGAGACCACGCCACTGCCACCCACCACCCGCCACAGTCTCCTCGATGGATGGATGGTCAGGACCTCACGTGCCAGGTGAGCGCCACAGGTGTCCCCTTCATCCCTCCCCACTCCTCACTGGGTGCCATTGGCCCTCCATGGTGCTGTCCTGGTTGGTTCCTGCCAACCAGGGACGCGCCATGGCAGCTCCTCTGCTGCCCTGACCTCTGGGTGGGGTGTGGGGAGGACTGGGTCATGTGGAGCCCTGATGCAGTTGTGGAGAGGACCAGATGGGGGCCCAGCCGCGAGCAGACACATTCTGGGACAAGGAAGAGGCCGGAGTGGAGGGAAGATGGCGGGCGATGGGTGGTGGTGCCGGGGCCCCCACATTAATAAAGGATGGACTCTGTTTCTCTTTTGTCTGAGATTTTGTGGCTGGGGTTGGGAGACTGAATGGTGGTAGCAAACACATGAATGGAATGGGGGCACAGCCAGGCTAGGAAGGAGAATCACCTCCATTTTCCCGAGGAAATGAGTTTGGCCCTGTCTACTAGACCAGAAAGATCCCTGGGCGGCACAAATGGCATGTGTTTGATTACTAACCTAAAGGTTGGTGGTTCAAACCCACCGAGCTGTTGGTCTGCTTCCATAAGGAAGTCCTATGTATGGAGCAATTGTACTCTGTAACACATGGGTGGCTATAAGTTGGAATCGACTTGAAGACAATGTTTTTTTAAAAAAATTTTGTTTTTAAGTGATCAGAAGATGCCCTGGGACACAGCTGGAGAAGGGAAGGGCCTGAGCCAATGGGGGGTGGGGGCAAGGAAGGACAGGATTTCCCACCTTTGCCTTAGCTCTGACCCTCTCCTGCATTCCACTTGCTCTCCACCTGCCAAACTGAAGGCTGCCACCTTCAGTTTTAATCCAAGAAAGTCTAGGGTTCCCTGGTACTATAAGAATTGGGGATAAATATACCAGAGCACATGAGCAACACATCTAATACTCAAAGCACATACTTGCACACACTCTAGGACACGTGTCTTGAAGCAGGAGGCCCTATACATGTATGCTTCTTGTTTTTGTTAAGTGCCATCGAGTGGGTTCTGACTCAGTGACCCTGTATAGGGTTTCCAAGGAGCCGCCAATCTTGCAGTACAGTGCCACACCAGGTCCATTAGCACATATATACATATAGTGATTGGCATGTCATAAAATGATACATCCATGGAACATACATATGCAACAGTACATGCAATGATATAAACAGGACACATCAGTGATCTATATTCACATAAGCAGACACACGAGTCCTGGTGTTGTGCTGTAGGATAAACACTAGACTGGTAACTGTAAGGTAGATAATTCAAACCCACCAGACACTCTTGGAAATCCTATACAGGGACACAATGACTCAGAACCGACTTGAGGGCACATACAGAAGGGCAGCCGAATATATACATAGTGACGTTTACACAGCAAATAAAAACAGTGACTATACATATATTCGGAGTCCTGGTGTGGCGCTGTGGGCTAATGCGTCAAACTGCAAGGTCAGTGGTTCAAGCTCACCAGCTGCTCCTTGGAAACCCTACACAGGGTCTCTATGGGTCAGAATCAACTCGATGACATTTCACAACATACATACATTCCACACACACACACATTCACACAATGATATATATAAAATCCATAGTTACAGACTTAAAAATTAATTTAAAATGGGATAAAAATAATGGGTTTTTCAATAAAAAAATTTGAAGCCCCCTCGTATTCGCACATATACACACATATATCCCTCCCTCCGTACAAGGATACACAGTACATAACGTGTAATATGTTTATACAGTTATGTAAAGATGTTTAATGACATCTGTATCATGGCATTCATATACATAGATCATGATAGGTTGTAATTTATAAACATATACAAGGATAGTCTCATATGTAACATCAGACGCATGGACACAGGCAAACCGACATATCCACAATGACATATACAGAAACATGCATATGTACCTGATGAGACTCATAGATACCTTACAGCACATACCAGGGGGCTTCAGAAAGTTCGTGGGAAAATTCCATTATGTTTTAATTCCACTTTTACAAGAATTTTTTGAAGCCCCTTAGTATAATGGCCCCACACCTATACAGAAACAAATATATGTCTATTCTATAATGTATACTAAGGAGCCCTGGCGGTGGTGTAGGGTAAACAATGGATTACTAACCACAATGTTGGCGGTTCAAAGCCACCAGCTGTTCCGCGGGAGAAACATGAGGCTGTCTACTCCCGTGAAGATTTACAGTCTCAGAAACTCTTTACTGGGTCACTATGAGTTGGAACCAACTTAATGGCAAACAACATGAGTCAGTGGGTTTTATAATGCATACTACATATATATATATATATATATATATATATAGAGAGAGAGAGAGAGAGAGAGAGAGAGAGAGCGCTCTGGTAGCGTAGTGGTTACAAATTGGGCTGCGAACCTTAAGGTCAGCAGTTCGAAACTACCAGCCGCTCTGCAGGAGAAAGATGAGGCTTTCTACTCCCGTAAAGATTTACACCCTCGGAAACCCTGTACAGGGTCACTATGGGTCGGAACTGACTCGACGGCACATAACAACAACAACATATATATATATTGGATTTTAAAATGATCTTTTTATTGAGTGGAATTCACACAATATACAATTAGACACTGCAAAGATGCACATATATTTTGACATCAGTGACAAACATCCTGTGGTGGCATGTATGCATCTTGAGGCACAAACTGCTTTAGGGAAGTGAGGGTGTAACCTCTTCCTAAGTAAGCATCGCTCAGCGCCTTCGGCTGACACCTGGGGTTGTAGTCCACAGCCTGAGACCCTGCAGTTCAGTAGCACTGCTATTCCCTGGGTACGCCACAAGAGGGCCCCCACCCTTGGTTGAGGCTAACTTATTGGTAGATAAGTCAAGGTTCAGAAGGGAGAGGGACACCTCTGTCTCTGGGGACTCTGTCTAGGCCCCTGTCCCCACATAAGGCCCACTCATGGGTGGTCAAAATCCCAGGTCCTTGTTAAAAAAAAAAAAAAACATCCTCCCCAGCAAGAAAACCTAGACAGAAGATGAACTTTCTGACAGCTGGGGGCAAAGCCCACCCAATAGGCCATGTGATCTCCCTTGCTGGTGGAGACAGCCAGGTTGTCTCCCAAATGCAGCCTGCCAAGAGGAAGCTGAATCAATTCTCTCATCTTATTTCTACCTCTTTGCTTCTGTCCTCCTGTTTTCATCCTCTTGATTTCTCTATCTAGCTCTCTTTGTCTCATTTTGAAAACTATTTTTTCTATTCCTGCCCTTCTCCATGGCTGGACGTCTGTCATCTGTCATGCCATTTTCTCTCTCCTATGTCTTTTCATTTCGGGCATGGCCCTGGGATGTGGGGAAGATCATCTGCAGCCCCCTTGCTTCTACACCCTGGGAGGTGTGAGGGTGTGTGGAATTGAGGGAAGGGAGGCCACATATAGGGGGCGCTGGGTCGGGATTCAGAGAGAAACCTGCTCTTCCCTCTGTCCCGACCCTGCCAGTCGGTCCAGCCCACCAGTCCATTGCCATCACCATGGAAACCAGCAGCAGACTTCCTATTGGTGGGTGGGAGGGGAGGAGGAGGCGGGGGAAGGGAGGACTGACTCTCCCCAGCTTGCCCCCCATTCTGAGGCTTAGATATCCTCCGCGCCCACCATCTCGGGGCTCTGGGGCTGTAGGGGACCCTTGCAGTCCCCAGAGCGGTGTCCAGTGGGGCAGAGAATATGAGGCAAGCAGCCCATCGACCCAGGCCTCCTTAGGACAGCGTGGCCGCCCAGTCATGGAGAGCAGCAAATAGAGGAACAGAGATAAAGGACCACAGAAGACCACTGGAGACCACCCCCAGCAGCTCCTGCGGACCCTCTTCAGGCTGAGGGGCCGTGATGGATAGCCAGACTCACGGATGCTGAGGGACACACAATGACACCGATGCACACAAGTGCACAACACTGACACACTCAACTATAACCACTGACAGCATCCTATACTGTCACAGCCCTGCAATACAGAAGACCCCCCCACCACACACACACACACACACTGAAACAACTGGTAAGTGACACAGACACAGACACAGACACACACACACACACACACACACACACACAAGGGGGAGCACCCGTCCTCCATACACAGACCTGGAGACGCACACACACCCTCAGCCAGACGCCACTGTGAGTGGCCTCGGCGGCACATCCTCCCTGCCCCCACAGGGCCACCCTCCCTTCTCCACACACTCATACACACACAGCCTCAAGCCAACATAGCTGGCAAACCCGGCTCCAGCTTCCGCAGCCTCGACTCCTTCTACAGCCTCCCATCGTGGATGAGGAAGAGCTCAGTTAACATCGATGGAGCCTCGGTAAAGCTATTAGCTCAGAGGGGACAGATTCTGGCCTGGCATGACCCTCGCCAGACCCCCCACTTGGCTGGGTAATGTACCCCAGCTCAGATCTTGGGGTCCCTTGGCAGTACTATGGAGCAACTGACATCCTTCCCACGGCCTGGGGACCCCGGAACCATGGAGTCGTGGGCAATACCAGCCTGGCCGAGATGGACACCAAGCCAGGGGGGTGAACCTGGCAGTATAGCCCCAAGTATTGCTGATACTCCGGCAGCTCTGCAGGTTGGAGAATCAAGGCCTGAGGAGAGTTCAGAGCCTGAGAGAACCCGGAGCCCCGGGCCTGTGGAGGGCACTGATTCTGAAGGGACACTGGTGGGGCCGCCTGTCCTGGGGCAGCAAGCAGAGAGCCCGGGACCCGGCTACCTAAAGCTGGAGGATGAGGTGGCAGAGACTTTCCTTAAGGTAAGGCATGTGGAGGGCATCTCTTTTCTTCTTGACCTGGCTCTGTCTGTGGCTGTCTCTGTGACTGTCTGCCCTCCCTTCTTTGGACACTCATCTTAAGGGCTCCATTTCTCTCCACCTGTCTGTCATTCTGACTCTCTCTTGCTTGTCTGCCTACATCTGGCCCTGTCCTTGCCTCCTCCCCCTTTGTCTCTCTGAGAGTCTGTCTGCATCTCCTCTATGAGTTTCTGTCTGTCTGTCATTGGGGTCTGAGTATATTGGGGGAGGGGGATGTGGAGATGTACAGCGGAATTGGAATTTGAAGGAAACAAGATTTAGGGAAGGGGCTCAGGGCTGGGTTGAACAAGGTTTGAGCAAGGGAAGGCCAGGTTTTGGGCAAGTGTCTCCCCTAGAAGATGGAGGGAGCAGGGATTTGGGGGGATAGAAAGGGATTCAGGGGCCATGAAGAGCCTGGAGTGGTGGGAATGGGAGCTCCAACTGGCATTTCCAGGAGGAGGAGGAGGAGGGCAGGGGGAGAAGAGTCAGAGGGTAGCAGGGAGGACCCCTGGGTGCAGATGAAGCAACTTCTCTTAGATATCCATCTCCCTGTGCTTCTCTGGGTTTCGTGGGGAGAACCTTCCTGCCCCTGGGTTCCCTGACAGTAGACAGGCAGAGCTACCACAGGAAGCATTCTGACTAGGAGTGTGTGTTGGGGGGGAACTCCTGAGACTGGGTGCCACCTCCTTTTCATGCCAGGCCAAGCTGAAAACGGGCTTTGGGGACAGGCCCAAGCTGGAGCTGCTGAGGGCTCTGGGGGAGCTGCAACAGCGCTGTGCCGTCCTGAAGGAGGAAAATCAGATGCTGGTGAGGCTGGGAGAGTGGAGCCCGAGTCCTGGCTGGAACCTGGGGAGGGCAGACTCAGACACCCTGGCCCTCTGCTTCAGTCCTCTCCTTACCCCATGAACATACATACCTCCATGTAGCTCAGCTACATGGAGGCAACATGATTCTAAAACCCAAGAGGCTGAACCCTGCTTAGAGTTGTTGAGGACTCCGCCGTGAGCACAGGGTTCTCGCCCAGGGACTAGGTAGCTAGGAGGAAGTCTGGGAGTACTCCCCACATGTACCCCATTCTGCCTGACCCTTGTCAGAGAAAGAGCAGCTTCCCCGAGACGGAGGAGAAGGTGCGAAGGCTGAAGCGGAAGAATGCCGAGCTGGCGGTCATTGCCAAGCGCCTGGAAGAGAGGGCGAGGAAGCTGCAGGAGACTAACCTGAGGGTGGTGAGCATGTGAGGTTGCTGGATAGGGACTGGGTGACAGGGAAAAGGGGGGCTGCGGTGGCCCTGAGGGGCTGTGGCTTCGGAGTCATCGACTCTAAGCACCCAGGAAAGCAGGAACCCAGGGACCCAGGTGTAAGAAGGACAAATATATTGGCCAATTTCTGGAGTTACCCGGGAAGGGAAGAGCTGGGTGGGGAGGCTCCCGAACAGTCAGGGAGCAGAATTCTGGGTTACCACGTGCTGATGCTGGCTGCAGTCTCGCTGAGCTCATCTCAGGGTGTAGAGCTGTTGGAGGCTGGGATGAAGGCCCATCACTGTGACAGCCCAGAATTAGCAGCCTGGTTCGGGCCTAAACTAGGTTGTGAAGTTAACCCTTTCATCCCTGGGGACTGCCAGGATGGGGTTATATGAGGCTGCTGGTCCCCTGAGACGCCAGACACAGGGTGGACGCAGGAGGCCACACTTCCAGGTTTTCCTCCCAAACTCTGCTTTGGGAGGAGCTGAGGAACAGGCAAAGGGTCCCTGTCCTTCAGTGATAACCGCTGGCCTTACTTCTCTGGCTAGGTGAGTGTCCCCGTTCCCCGCCTGGGGGCCAGTTTGGAGTTGTGCCAGGAGGCTCTGGCCCACCAGCGAGCCCGGGACCTCAGTGAGACAGCCAGCGCCCTGCTGGCCAAGGACAAACAGATTGTCGCCCTGCAGCGGGAGTGCAGGGAGCTGCAGGCCAGGCTCACCCTGGCCGGCAAGGTGCGTGGGTGCAAGGGGCCTCTGGTCACCCCCATGCAGCTCAGCCCTTCACACAGCCGCCCGCCCGCCTAACAAGTAGGATGTGAATGAGATGTTAATAAGATGCAAATGAAGCCAGAAGGTGGAGGCTTCTGGGGAGTAGGTTCCCCTGGCAACGGCCCAGGTGGGAGCTAGGAGAAGGAGCTTGAACTGAAGCAAGTGGAGCCTTGTAGGAGTCCCAGACCTGGGGATTTCTGTGCCCCAGGCTTGAAGCCGTGCGCCTGTGAGCTTGGCTGTTATAACCCACACATACGAGTATTTTATCAGGCATTTCATGTGCCTGCCCAGCAAATTAGTTACTATTCCTGTGGATGCCTTCACATGCGCTGGCGGAGGCTTGTGGCTGTAGATGCAAGCACATATGGCCAGGCATGTATGCATGCAAGAATATGCGTGTTCCCGCGCTCCCGAGCCCTCCAGCACGGAGGAGGGCGCGCTCTCCTGGGGGATGGAGTAGGGCAGACAGACGTTAGGCCTGACTCCACTCCACGTCTCCCCACCCCAGGAGGGCTCCCAGTGGCTCCACGTGCGGGACATCGACCGTCTTCTGCGCGAGTCCCAGCGGGAGGTGCTGCGGCTGCAAAGGCAAATCGCCCTGCGCAACCAGCAGGAGCCGCCCCCGCCGCCCCGGTTCCCGGCCCCTGCTGTCCCGGCCCCAGCAGGGGCGCCCGCCCCCGGGGCCCCGGGAGAGGTGAGAGCAAGCTCCAGGGCAGGTGTGTGTAGACCGGGGCTTGAGGGTGGCTCTGGAATCTTCCCCTGCACGACAGGGTGACGGATGCGCACTCCCTGGGTCTGAGGAACTCGCCCAATCCCGGGGGCAGGGTTCTCTCCACTCATCTCCGCTCCTTTACCTGCGCCGCGCCCGCCCTGGGCATCTTGAGTTCTGCTCTCCGTGGGTCTGCACCCCGCAGGGCCCGCCCCGCCGCCCCTGCCGCACAGCCAGTGGTATGGCCCGTCCGCAAATCCCCGGTTGCCCTAGCAGCCGCTGGGGGCCCAGCCCGCGCCGCCTCCTCCCGCCGCCGCGGTAGCGCGGGGACGCCCCTTGCAGCGCCCGCCAGGCCACCCAGGCCCGCCCATGCTCCTCGGGGGCGGCGGTTTGACCGCCCCTGCTCCAGGTATGGGGACCCTCATGGGGCATGTGGCTTAGGCAGCTCCTGTCCCGAGGGCGTCGGGCCCCCCTGCGGAGCCTCAGAATTTAGGGGTCTGATTCCTCTCTTTTGGGCAGCATCTAGGTCTGTCATCTTCTGGGAAGATGGGTGGGAGATAGGGCCCCATAGCGACCAAGGTCCCAGGTGCGGGGTGCTTCTTGTTTTCATTGTGCCCCTGTGGCTGGCCCACAAAGGGGAGATGCACCTCATATCAAGCTCTGTCCTCCCTCAAAGATAAATGGAAGATGGGGCAGGGGCGTGGGGGAAGCCAGGAGGAGGGTCTGGTCAGGTGTTCACTGCCCTAGTATACAGGCCCAGATCTGAATGCTCCAGAACTCCAGCTCTGGAAACACCTCCATGTCTCCTGGGCCCAGACAGCCTCCGAATTCTCTGCCAGTCATCGAAGGACACCTAGGATAGTTATTGAGTGCAGAGGGGGGCTGGCCGCTGCAAGCTAAAAAGGGAAAGCTGTGGCCTCAATAAGGGACCTGCTTCCCAGTACACACGTGGGTCCCAGGATCTCAAAACACTCATGACTTGGGACACAGGGCCATCCTTGGCACTTGAACATCAGTTGGAGATGATGGGATGCCAGGTAGTGGTGTGTGGGCAGATAGTGCCTCCATCCCCCTGCTGACTGTGAGAAAAGGTGGCACCCTCCCACAAACAAGTTGGGCTTGAGCAGGCTGCTCTGGGCCCCTAACTCCTGGGCACTTGCAGGCCACACCCCAGGAAGATGTGGACAACCCACAGGTGGTTGTAGGGGAGCCTGAGAAACTGCACAGGGTGCAGCAGCTGGTAAGTGCCCAGGCCAAAGGCTGGAGGGGACCTGCAATGGGCAGATGGGCCTTCCTACCTGAGGAGCCCTGGGTGCTGACCCATGTGACCCTCATAGGAGTCAGAGCTCAGCAAGAAGCGGAAGAAATGTGAGAGCCTGGAACAGGAAACCCGAAAGAAGCAGAGGCGATGTGAGGAGCTGGTGAGCTTCCAAGAGCCAGCAGCCAGCTTGACCTCCTGCCCCCAAGAAAGCACTTTCTTTCTCACTCTTGGGTTCTCTTTTCCTGTCCGATGCAGGTTGTAGGTGGGTGGGGGTGGGTGGGTATTAACTTGGTGGGCAGGGTATTCTGTGTGGGGAGAGGAGGAGTGTGGGTGCTAGGTCCCTTCCCCAGAGCGTTTCTACTCTCTCAGGAACTTCAGCTGAAAGAAGTTCAGATTGAGAATGCCCGCCTTGTGGAGGAGAACTCTCGACTCAGTGGGAAAGCCACAGAGAAGGAGCAGGTACCACCTACTCTGCCCCAGGTGCTTTAGGGGCCTGGACTCTTGCAGAACCCCTCCCCCTTGGTGAGACACTTCCTTTTGCACTCCAAACTGGGCTAGGGCATGAAGGATACTATTCTTCCTAATAAGGGAGTGGGGGGTGGGGGGGGAGAGGAGAGGTAGGCAGCGGCAAAGCTCACACACTCAGCTCCCTGAAACACCCCTCTCTAGGTGGAGTGGGAGAATGCCGAGCTAAGGGGCCAGCTTCTGGGGGTGACAGAGGAGAGGGATTCGGCCCTTCGAAAGAGTCAGGGCCTGCAGAGCAAGCTGGAGAGCCTGGAGCACGTGCTGAAGGTAAGGGAACTGTGTAGGTGGGGGAGAGGGCATTGGTCCCTGGCACAGGGAGAAAAGGGGACAGTGAGATATTTCCATGAGGTCAGAGGATGCAGTCTTGGTCCCACTTTTTGTGGGATCCCACTTTTTGTGGGATCTTAGTATAGCATTTTTTTGGTCTCCAGCCTCAGTTTCCTTTTTCATAGAGGAATAGAGACAGGCAGCATCCGAGGTACTGCTCTCAGATCTCCTATAGATATAGTGGGGTGGAGGCTTTGGCCTTGACTCAGGCTCTTGTGTTTCAGCACATGCGGGAGGTGGCCCAGCGGAGGCAGCAGCTAGAGGTGGCGCATGAGCAGGCCCGGCTCAGCCTGCAGGAGAAGCAGGAGGAGGTCCGGAGGCTGCAGCAGGTGGGGAGGTGGGGAGGCAGGATTGAGGGAAGGGTGGTAGGCTTTTGGATCCCAGCTTAGTCATCCAGTCATCCAACAAGCATTTACTGAGCACCCACTATGTGCCAGGCACTATGCTAGGCACTGGGGAGAGAGTGGTGAACAAAGACGAGGTTCCTGACCAATCCACACATCATCGGATCTAGGACTGAGAGGATTTCAGCCCTGATCAGTGCAGTGGAGGAAATGAACAAGGTGATATGACAGAGGATGACTGAGAGGGGGGTGATGAGCCACTTGGTCAGGGAAGGCCTCTCTGAGGAGGTGACAATTTAGCTAATTCCTGAAGAGCAAGCAGGCACCAGTCATGAGAGCTATGGGCAGAACACTCTGAGAATGGGGGATAGAAGTTAAAATGCTGTGCAGCAGTAAAGAGCTCGGAGTGTTTGAGAACAGCATGGCTAGAATACTCAGTAAAATCGGGGATGGACAGACTAGCAGAAATTGACAAGCGCTTGATCATGTCAGATTTAGGATCCAAGGAAATAACTGGAGATTTTATTCTGTGCATAGTTAGAAGGGTAGCAGCATGATCCTGTTCATAATTTTGGAGTCCTGGTGTGGCGCTGTAGGATAAGCACTGGACCACAAGGTTGGTTTGAACTTCAGGGTCGGCGGTTCAAACCCACCAGCCACTCCTCAGAAACTATACAGGCAAGATTACTCTGGGAGTAGTGTGGAGGATGAGTTGGGGAGCTGGCATGGAAGCACGTGACTAGGTGCTAGGAGGCTGTTGTTGTAGTGGTCCAGATGGGAGACAATGATGCTCTGGATTGGGGTGCAGACCATAGATGTGGAAACAAGTGGGTGGATTTGAAATATATTTTGGAGACTAAATCAGCAAGACTCATTGTGGGATAAGAGTTGAGTCCCTACTCTGTCATCCATTTTCTGTGTCATCCCACCTTGAAGGAAAGGGAAAACTCAAGGATGAAACTGAGGTTTTGGGTTTAAGCACCTTGATGGAGGGTGTGGTATAGAACAGGTCCAACACTGTGTCCTGGAACCGTTTAATGTTCACATGGAGCAGAAGAGGCAAATCAGGCCCAAGAAGCTCAGAAATAGCATCCAGAGAAGTAGGAGGGAAGGCAGGAGGGTGGCTGTCCCAGACAGTGGGAAACAGTAGATGGCCCCATCTCTTCTTTCCTATTGTTTCTGGCCAAGGTGGATGTTCAGAGGAGACAGCTCCTCAGCCTCTCCTACTCCCAGCCTCCCTTCCTTTCTCCCTCTCTCCTTCTCACCTCCCACCCCCTTCCTGGTTCCTCCTACCTGCCCTCCCTCCCACCTTCCACTTACCCTCCAGCATTTTGTCCCCTCCCTCTTGTAGGCCCAGGTAGAAGCCAAGAGGGAGCATGAAGGGGCTGTCCAGCTGCTGGAGGTAGGGTCCTTTTCAAAGATAGCCACCAACTCTGTCACTTGGGGGAATGGCAGGGAACTTTAGATAAAACTGGAATAGGCCATGTGTATCTGTGTGTGGGAGGTGTGGGGTTTCTAGAGAGGCTTAAACTCTTTGGTGGTTATGTGCCATGGAATCGGTTCTGATTCATAACGACCCTGTACAGGGTTTCCAAGGCTGTAAATCTTTACGGGAGCAGAAAGCCTCATCTTTCTCCCGAAGAACAGCTGGTAGTTTCGAACTGCTGACCTTGAGTTACGCAGCCCGATTCGTAACCACTACGTTAAACTCTTTAGGGCCTGAGAAATCCCCTTGTCTGTTTCTCAGGTTGGGGCATGACTGGGCCAGGGGGCTCCTGAGTTTGGTGGCAGCAGTTTCCCAAGGCAGCCCACCCCTAAGAGACTGCCTTTACTCCAAAATACCCTTCCATTTAGGGACTTCTCAGTCAGCCCAGGGAGCCTGGTTGTCTCTGTCTGGATTAATGGCCTACAGACTAGGGGTTCTCACCTCCTCTCTGCTTTCCTTTCCTGCCACAGTCTACCTTGGATTCCATGCAGGTATAACCTCTTTATCCCTCTGACTCCAAGCTCCCTGGGCATCCCCTCCTCCATATTGCTCCATGCTGCCTGCACTTCATCTCTTCCTGAGTCTCATGTCCATCAGAGGAGGGGGATAAACCTGCAAATCCTTAGATGGCCTGGGTCCCTGCAGGACATGTGGGCCTCTGCCTGGCAGACATGGGGTCCTCCATCCTCCAGATCTGAGTCATTCAGACCATGAGGACGCTCACCACAATCCAACCCATGATTCTCCTGAGACTGGCCAGGGCTGGGGCTCTCCTGATCCCTGAGAAAAATTCTTGGGAATTGGCCTGTTTCTGTCACAAAGATGTTCCTAGATCCCCTGTGGAGTATCTTGTCCCACCTCTGGAGAGCAGGGATTTGGGTTATTGTGGGAGGGTGATGAGCCATGGGGCTGAGAAACTCCTGAGGTGACACTGGTGATGGCAGTAGGGGTGGGAGTGAGCCCTTTTGACCTAGAAAGCAGCCCAAAGCAGGAAGTGACTGCTGCTGACCTGGGGCTGAGGGCATGGAGAGTGTGAGGCCGGCCTAGGTTGGCTCTGGAGGAGGGTTGGGATGAAGAGGTCCCATAGCCCCAAGACTTCACAGGTCAGGAGCAGCCAGGCCAAGGTTGGTTGGGCCCCCGGTCTGGGGCTTGGGTGCCTGTGATCTGAAGCCCTGTGCTCAGGAACGGGCCTGGGCGGCTTTGCTGGGCTCTGGCCTCATCGTGGGTCTTGGCCCAGGTCCGGGTTCGAGAGCTTGAGGAGCAATGCCGCAGCCAAACTGAGCGCTTCAGCCTCTTGGCACAGGAGCTCCAGGCCTTCCGTCTGCACCCTGGGCCTTTGGATCTGCTCACCTCTGCTCTGGGCTGCAGTGCCCTTGGGGATCGTCTACCACCCCCTTGTTGCTGCTCCACGTCCCAGATCTGCTCCAAAGGTACAGTAGATCTCAGTGACTTTAGTCTGGGATTCCCAGCCCTGGGCCTTTTGGAAGGGTGGGTACCCATTGTACAGAACAGGGAGTTCAAGCATCTCAGCCAAGGTCACACAATACACTGGAGCTATGTCTGACAAGAACCAGGGTTCAGTGGCGGGGAAACAGAGCCCAGAAGGATAACTCTCTGAGTCTGGGCCCAGGCATCTCAAACAACTGCTCCTCTCCTTCCAACAAGACCTCTACGGTCACAGCTGGGAGTTGGTGGGCACTAGGGGTCAGTAGCAGGCAGGATGAGCTTGGGTGATCCCAGCTCCACTGACTATAGTCAATGGGCCATAGTTTCCTAAACTCTTAAGGCAGGAAGAATTAAATGCACTTGACCAAGGGACTATGAGGATCATGTGAAATCATGTATGCAAATTACATTTACCTAAACGTACAAGCCCCTTCCCCCGAGCATTTTCCTTCTTACAAGGAAACTTGGCTATGGAGGGCTTGACCCGTGTATCCAAGAAGCTCCACCCTATCTCCCTGGTCCCTCCTCAGGCCACAGGCCCCCAGCCCACGTGCCATCTTCTCTTTAGACCTTGACCTCCCTCCGGGCTCTCCAGGGCGCTGTGCCCCAAAGTCTTCTGAAATTGCCTCAGCCACACTTGCTGGGGCCCCTAGAAGGATGACTAAGAAGGCAGAATCTCTCTCCAACTCCTCTCGCTCGGAGCCTATCCACAACAGCCCCAAGTCGTGCCCTACGCCTGAGGTCAGTGCTGGGGAGGGAACTTGGGGTTCTAGTACTGCCTCTGGAAAAGGGCAAAGGGAAGTCTGCTACCAGAACTTCTGCCAACCTCTTCTGGGGTCCCCAGAAGTTGGGTCCCAACTTGAAAGGTAGAGGCAGACCATAAATTCCTCCTTGTGTGTTCCATCTCTGCTCTTCTGGGCCGGCCTGCAAGTCCCACCTTGGGGCCACCTGGCTCCACCCCTCTGGGGCTCAGGGATGCCCTAGAGTCCTGGGCTGGATGGAGGGAGACACTTTGGCGCCAGGATCCACATAATGAGACTGTTCATAAGGACGTCTGTAGTAGAAGCAGGTGGTTGTGGGAAAGAGCACAGGTTTGAGAATTCAAATCCCAGCTTTGTCCTAAGTAAGTCCCTGACCCCTTTTGGGCTTTGGTTTCCTTTCCTTATATGAATGTTGGAGCTAATAAAGTCTGTCTTACAAAGTTTTGAGGATAACATGAACAATACAAAAAAGGGCCTCACTTAGTATGGCATGCACACAGAAGAAACTAACCACATGACAACTATTACTACACATTCTAGAACATTGCTCACTGTCTTCTGGTCACTTCCCAAACCCCAGAGCGGAGGGGGCAGGTCCGTAGCAGCCCTGGTATCCTACCTTGCCATTGGTGGTAGAACACAGCATTAGGCCTCTACTGCCCCCTCCTGTGATAGAATGGTACTGCTGACACTGGCTGCCATTATGGAGGGGCTGCCCCTGGCTATACCTCAGTCCCCTTTGGCAGAGAGGAAAAGATTGTTCCTCTGGCTGGCCCTGTAAATCTGAACCAGGCTCAGAGAAGCAGGGGTGCCCCCAGGTATGGGCCAGGCAAGTGGACAGGAAGTTGAGTTCCAAGACTGAGCCGCAGAACACTTTCACAGATGAGGGGCAAGGACTTCTTCAGTTCCCTCTGCCCCTTGTCCTCCAGTTCTTTACAGGTGGGCTGCTTTACTGCCTGTCAGCTTGAGGAGCCAAACTGATGTCGGACACCCATTCCCCATACCAGCCATGGTGTGGTTAGTCCTCTCACAGCTGGCTTGGGCTGTAGGGTTCCAGGCAACCCCACTTTCTTTCCCTTCCTAGGGCATGAAGCTGCCAGCCTAGGCAGTGACTTAGGAAGCATCCTGTGCTCCTTGCTATCGGCCTTGACCAGTATGTGCTCACTGCCCTTCTCCCAGGCAATGGGCCCTCCTCAGGCTCCTCCTGGCCACCTGCCCATGTTGTCTTTGGTCCTGGGCCCTAGAGAGGACCAGCCCTTTCTGTTTACCCCCAGGTGGACACAGCCAGTGAGGTGGAGGAGCTGGAGGCAGACAGTGTCTCCTTGCTCCCAGCAGTACCTGAGGTCATCAGGGGAGGAGCCAGGATCCAAGTCTTCCTAGCACGTTACAGGTGGGCCCCTCACCTTTGCCCCCACCCCCAGCACTAGGACCATATGTTAGAATTGGGGGGGTGGCTATAGAAACCCTTGTTGAACATGTGCGCTAACCTATTTGGGCCAAGATGGCACAGTTCACAGTTATAATATGCTTTGCTATGGACAGACAACCACGTTTCCATACAAGCCTGATGCAGCGGGTGAGAGAGGACAAGGCATGGAAGTGGGATGTAGTCACTGCCTTCCTCTTCCTCTTGCCTCCCCCTATAGCTATAATCCCTTTGAGGGCCCCAATGAGAATCCAGAGGCCGAGCTTCCGCTGACTGCAGGCGAGTACATTTACATCTATGGCAACATGGACGAAGATGGCTTTTTTGAAGGTAGGAAGGTAGTGCCCCTGCCTCAGAGCCTGTGTTTCCAAAGACCTCCATCCATCCATACCCTCTCCCCAGCATGTACAGCTGACCACCACTTTTTAGACTCAGCCAAAAGGCATCCAGAGACCTCAGCAGCCAGTGGGAAAGGGAAAGAAAGGGGTCTGAGGAGGAAGCAACTAGTTTGCCTGTGGGTTTGGCTCTACACATGGCCCAAGGCATACTCACAGGGAATTGGAGCTAAATTCATTTTGGTGCTTGCAGGCCTGGCATGGAGCCAGGCATGGAACATAGATTCAGTGTTGGACTCCAGTCGGGTGTGGAGAAGAGGGACCAAGATGCCAGGAAAGGGTCTTCCCATGTGGTTAGCCCAGGGCCCAGGCAGGGGCTGAGTTTCAGGGCAGATCTCAAGTTCCTGTCAGGAACTGGGGGTTCACCAGGCAGGACTCCATTACAGAGAGTAGGCAACAGCAGTAGGGCATGCCCAGGATTGCCTGTGGGAACCTCCGCCCGCCCCCCCCATTGTTTAACAGAGGGGAGGGTGACACTGTGTAGAGATTGAGATGAGGTGTGGACAGGAGCAGGATGAAGTCCGTATGGGTGTCATGATGACAGGTACACTTTTGTGTACCTGTGTGGAGTTTAGGAAAGGCGTTAGGTCTGTGGTTACAACATCAAAGCGTTGGGTTTGTAAGGCCAGGCCTTCAGAATCTGTGCATCTCCTCTTCCCTGGGCCTATGCCTATTATTTGAGTGGACATCTGGAATGATGGTATCTGCTCTGACTGTGTGGTCTACACAGCTAAACTCCCATAGGGTTGAATTACAGAGAACTGCATTATGAAGCAAGTAAGCTATACTATTTTTATGAATTACAGAGAATTGGATTATATAGCAGGTAAACTATGCTATTTTTATGAAAAAGAAAACCAGTTTGTTTTCTGGGGGGAGGGAATCAACAAAATCATAAATATTAATTAATCATAATTTACTAGAATTTGAACTGTACAGTCTGGGATAGATTTAAAAGGATGTAGACAGCCGGAGGTTGTTTGTTGCATTCATCATTAACATTTAGCTAAGTGACCGCTTCATTTATGCCTGACCCACCGGAGTTGTTGGTGGAATGAACCTCCAGAGTGTATGCTTCAGCTTTAGGCCTGCAGGGCTGTAGGTGAGTTTAGTGATAAGACACCTACCTTTAATCTCACACAGCTCAGCGTTTCCGTAGCAAATCACCACAAAGCTTGTGGTGTCAACACCAGAACTATAGTCTCTCAGAGTTCTGGAGGCCAGAAGTCCAAAAACACAATGTTAGCAGCACTGTGCTCCCTCCAAAGGCTCTAGGGGGAGATTCCATTCCTTGTCTCTCTCAGCTCCAGGGGTTCCAGGGGTTCCATGTTCTGTGGCTGCATCACTCCAGTCTCTACCTCTGTGGTTGCATTGCCTCCCCTTCTCTCAGGGCCTCCCCTCTGTGTGTCTCTTATAAAGACATTTGTCATTGGCTTTAGGGCCCACCTGGGTAATCCAAGATGATCTTGAGATCATTTAAATAACTACATCTGCAAAGACCCTTTTCTCAAATAAGGTCACATTCGTGGGTTTCAAGGATTAAGATGTGGACGTATCTTTGGGGGGGCCACCATCCAACCCACTACAGCCCTTATCTTACCTAGTTTTCATTTTTCAAAATTTCTCACATCTTTCTTCTCCTACCATCAGCAGAGTGAGAGGAGAAAGAAAAAACCCGTTACTGTTGGGGAAACCCCAAGGCCTCCCTGCAGCTAAGAACTGTCTTGTCTCACTCTTCGGCCCTAAGCTCTGCCAGACATCCTATCTTTTCTCCCGGTGAGGCGCAGCAGCCACCAGCTTGGCTGTTCTCTGGGAATTTCTGTCCTTCCCACAAATTGGCTGTGATACGACATGCTGTTGCCAACTTTCTTCTTCCTTGACATCCTTCAAACAAACAACCTCAAGTGTTATTGCCAACTCTTCTGGGGCCCTGACTCCACGTAACAGCCTTACGTTTGGCTTCAGCCTAGGTTGGCTGCCAGGTCACGCTCCTTGCACGTACATCTCCAGTGGGTCCTAATCCACTCTAGAACCCACAGGTGACTTCTCTGGCACTTAATCTTTCCCTCACCCTGACAAGATGGTTGCTCTCCTTTCCCTGTGCATGCTGGTTTCCACCCCTCCCCTACTCCTCAGGGATGTAAAATCCCACCATAGGAGCTTCACAGTCAGAGTCTGATTTCTCATCTTGGCACTATTCCCCCAATTTTAAATATACCCACCCACTGCCATCAAGTTCATTCATATTCAATAGTGACCGACGTAGGGTTTGTGAGGCTGTAAATCTTTACAGAAAGCCTCCTCGTTCTCCCTCAGAGCACCTGGTGGATTCGAACTGCTGACCTCACACCACTATACCACCAGGGCTGATGTACAGCAAAGTTAAATAGTCCACTTGTTGTTGTGAAGTGCCGTCGAGTCAGTTCCGACCCATAGCAACCCTGTATAGGGTTTCCGGGGAGCAGCTGATGATCCACTGAGTACCTAGAGATCCATAACCTAGCTTCAACAGCTGTTACCATTATTGCCATCCTTGTTTTATTCATATGTTGTTATTGTTAAGTGCCGTTGAGTCGGTTTTGACTCATGACAACCCTGTATAGGATTTTTGAGGAGTAGCTGGTAGGTTTGAACCATTGACCTTGTGGTTAGCAGTCCAGTGCTTATCTTAAAAGAAAGAAAAAAAAGGGTTTGACATTTCCTTAGAACATGGACAGTTCTCTACACGCTTGCATCTCCTATATTCTTATAGCATCACCTGGAATCATGTTACATAGAATCTTAACTCCACTAGCTCTAATGAATTAGAGCCTGCATTTGAACAAATCTCCAGCTTAAATTCATACTTGAATTTAAGAGGCACTGTTGGACAGTTCCTGGGTGGCACTTGACTTCTAAACCAAGGTTGGTGGTTTGGACCTACCCAGAGGTACTTCAGAAGAAAGTCTTGGCGACCTGCTTCTAAGAAGTTACAGCTTTGAAACCTTGTGGACCAGCTCTGCTCTGTAACAGTAGGGTTCACTATGAACTGGAAGCCACAAACTACTCATAGCCACAAAAAATTACTGTAACTCCCTAATCCAGATTTTGATTGCTCTCGCCCTTTAAAAGCACTGACAGGTAAATGTTGATATGAATCACATGATTGGGAGCAGCCCCTGACCAGTACTGAAATGAATTTAATGGTGAGGTTTTTTCTCAACTTTCTGTTTCCTGATCCCTGTCCTTCCCTGCCTGCCCTCTGCTAGGGGAACTCATGGATGGCCGAAGGGGCCTGGTCCCCTCTAACTTTGTAGAGCGTGTGTCTGATGACGACCTCCTGACCTCTCTCCCTCTGGAGCTGGCTGATTTATCACACAGCTCCGGCCCTGAACTCAGCTTCCGGAGTGGAGGTGGTGGGGGCAGCAGCAGTGGGGACCAGAGCAGCGGGGGACGGTGCCAGCCCCAACTGGAGGAGGAGGATGTGGGAGATGAGCTCAGCCTGAGTCCACCCCCAGAGGGACTTGGTGAGTCCCATGCTGTGCCTTATCCCCGCCGTCTGGAGCTTCTCAAGCAGCTGACCCACAGCATGGTGCTAGCCTGGGAGCCGCCCCCTGAACAAGTGGACCTGCTCGGCTATCATATCTGTGTGAACGGAGAGCTGCACCAGGCTCTGGGACCCGGGGCACCCCCCAAGGCCGTGCTTGAGAACTTGGACCTGAGGGCCGGCCTTCTCCATGTCTCTGTGCGGGCCCTGACTAGCCAGGGCAGCTCTGACCCCCTGCGTTGTTGCCTGGCTGTGGGTGCCCAGGTTGGGGTCGGGCCTAGCCAGCTTCGGATCTACCGACTGACAGCCACGTCTGCTGAGATCACCTGGGTGCCCGGCAATAGCAATTTGGCCCATGCCATCTACCTCAATGGGGAAGAGTGCCCACCTGCCCGCCCCAGTATCTACTGGGCCACCTTCTGCAACCTGCGGCCTGGCACACTCTACCAGGCCCGAGTAGAGGCTCAGCTCCTACCCCGAGGGTCCCGGGAAGCAGACTGGGAGAGGCCGGAGCAGAGAGCAGCCACCCTGCAGTTCACCACCCTCCCAGCAGGTGTGCAGGCCAGGGCACAGAGGGCTGGGGGTGTACTGTCCATACCACCTGGAGGCTGGTGGCAAGGGAGATCTGCTCTTTGCATTTTCAGGGACAGGGCAAATCGGGCTGGAATCATTATTGGGCATCACTAGGCCTTGTATCCCTCCCTCCAGGCCCACCTGATGCTCCGCTTGATGTGCAAATTGAGCAGGGACCCTCCCCGGGAATCCTGATCATCAGCTGGCTTCCAGTCACCATTGATGCTGCAGGCTCCTCCAATGGTGTCCGGGTCACAGGCTACGCCATCTACGCTGATGGGCAGAAGGTACTGCCCACCTACTGCATCCCGCCTCTGCCTACCTTGCCTAGTCTCTTGGCCTGACACAGAGGTGCCCAATCCCTGGTGTTTGGGCACGGTGTAACAGATTGACTAAGGGCATACACTTCGGCATTAGATGACAGATTCGAAAATTAACCCAACACTTGTGGTCAGGAGGCTGAGAGGAGACAGGCTTCCAGAAAGCTTAGCATCGCGGCACAGGGCAGCTGCCCGTGCTATGCTTGTGCCCCCGCTAGTCCATCTCAGCCTCCCTTTCCCAGCCTCTTCTCCCTCTTCACTGCAGATCATGGAGGTAACGTCACCCACAGCAGGCAGTGTGCTGGTGGAATTGTCGCAGCTGCAGCTGCTGCAAGTGTGCCGCGAGGTGACCGTGCGAACCATGTCACCTCACGGCGAGTCAGCAGATTCCATTCCGGTCCCTGTAGCCCCAGCTCTGGCTCTGGCCTGCCTGCCAGCCAGGGTTTCCTGCCTTTCACCCAGACCAGACCTGGAGGCCAGATCACCCTTTGCTCCAGCCTCTCCAGGGTTTGGAGACCCTAGTTTTCCCCTCTGGTGTCCTGACCCCCATGGAACTCCAGAGCCCTCAGAGGTCCCCTCAGCAAGCCCTCTCAGTGAGGCATCAAGAGAATCCCAAGAGGAGCCTCCAGTATCTTGTTCCCAGGTACCCTGGGCTGTGTGAGCCAGGAAGAACTGGTAGGGTTGGGAGAAGGGCCCGGGCTTAGGACCACTCCTCAGTGCCTACCATTGCAGGAGGAGGTGGGTATAGCGGGCGTCTTGGAGGAACAGAGGGTCAGCAAGCCAACAGTGGACGAGAGAGGCCCTGGCTCTACAGTTCCTGAACTAGCTCTGGAAGAGGCTCAGTGGGCCACAGGAGAGGCCTGCCCAGTGCCCTGCTCCACCCAGGGAGCCCCGACCCATCGGATACCGTGTATCGAGGCCAGCCAAGGAGACACAGGGTCCGGACTGAGGGCCAGTGTTGAGGTACAGGGCTGAGGACAAACCATGCCACCCCCCCGATTCCTGCTACCCGAATCTAGTTGCTCTTCCCCTTGTTCTCCACTCTGGTCTGTGCTGTGGGTCTATTTGGCGTTCTTTTCTTCCCAGGTCTCTCTCCATTTTTGCTTCCATCCTCTTGGTCTGTCTTGCCTCAAGATTCAGGAAGGCTCCCCTGCCATCTGCATACCACTCATATTTCTTCCTGACTAGGGCTGGTCCTACCTAGAGCCCTCAGCACCCCTCACTGCCCCTCCCATCGCCCTCCCTTGTCTGCCTCTTACAGAGAGATAACCCAGCCGAGCTTGGGCTCCATGTGGTGACCCCCCTTGTGGACCACAGTCGTAACTCAGACCTGTCAGACATCCTGGAGGAGGAGGAGGAGGAAGAGGAGCTGGCCTCCAGGCCTTGCTCTTTTCAGAAGCAGGTTGCTGGCAACAGCATCAGGGAGAACGAGGCCAAGGTAACGGAGTGGGAAGGACTGGTGGGCCCTAGACCTCAACCTTCAGCGCCCCACTACCCTGTGTCAGCAGCTGCTCCAGCCCCACCGAGCACCAGCATCCTTCTAGGTGTGTGGCTGGGGCCCAGGTGTGAAGTGACCCAGGATGGCCTCTGGCTTCCCGGGTAGAAAGGAGAGAGGAGGAGTCCTTTTCTGCATCCCCTGCCCCTCTGCCAGATGTAGTGCTCAGCTAGCAGGGTCCTTGTGTTAGGAGCTCTGAGTCTGGGGAGGGGGGTCTCACTGCTTTTATAGGCACAGTCTTCTCCCCTGTATGTTCCCCTCCAGGGCCTGATCCTAGGGTGTGCCCCTAATTCTTCTTTGGACTCTGCCCTGGTGATGTTGGGCATGCCCCATCTTCCCCGAAGTGGGGGAGGATTGTGGAGGAGCGGGGAGATGGTCCTGAAGGAAACTGAGGGCAGGCTTGGGGTTGCCCCCAGCTCCCACCCTCACTTGAAGGCAAAGGTCCCACCCCTGCCCTCTTGCCTGCGGCCTCTTCCGCTGCTCCCTGCCCCCAGCCCCAGTCCGACTCAGGTGAGACCGACAGTGACGAGGAGATTCTGGAGCAGATCCTGGAGCTGCCCCGCCAGCATTTCTGCAGCAAGAAGCTCTTTAGCATCCCCGAGGAGGAGGAAGAAGAGGAGGATGATGAAGAGGAGGAGAAGCGGGGGGCAGGCTGCTCTTCCCGAGACCCGAACCTGCCTGAGCCTCTATTGCTAGGGTCAGGCTACAAAAGTGCTCAGCCCCAAGGCTCTGGCTTGTGCCCCTTGTTTCCTGAGCCTTCCAGGACTGAGGACCACTTGGAGGATGTGCCTGGACTAGTTGGTGGAAGCAGCCAGAGGAGAGGCGTTGGAGCCCCGGAGAAGCCCCCAAACCGCAGGCGGCCCCCAGACCCCCGTGAACATTGCAGCCGGCTTCTTGGCAACGTCGGGGCCCAGCCCTCTGGACGACCAGGCCCCACACGGGAGCGGGGCGGTGCCCCTGTGGGCGAGGGGACCAGGGCTGGACCAGAGACTGGTGGCAGAGGGCAGCTGACCCTTTCCCGGAAGTGCCCCAGTGGTCGGACCCTGGAATCTGGCCTGGCTAGCTGCCTGTCCCCCAAGTGTTTGGAAATCAGCATTGAGTATGATTCTGAGGACGAGCAGGAGGAGGGCAGTGGGGGCATCAGCATCACCAACTCCTGCCACCCTGGAGAGGGGGAGGTCTGGGGCACGGCGCCCATAGGATGGTCCAGGGGGACTCTGAAGGCCAATTCAGCCCCCAACCCCTGCCCATGCCCCCCGGGCTGGGAGAAAGGGGAGCCAGAGCGGCGAGGCTACAGTGTGATGAGCAGAGCCAAAGACTCAGACTCCCGGGTCCGTGCCCACTCCCACCCTGGGCAGCCCCCTGCCTGCTGCCACCCGTTGGTGGTTGTGCTTGCTGCCTACCAGCCACTTCCATTCCACGCTGCGCCTCCATCAGCAGAGGTGGTGCTGGACCTGTGGGCTCCCTCACCTGCTCTTCCCACCCACATTCCACCGCTTTGCTGCTTCTGCCAAACAGAACTGGGATGCACAATATTCTGTTGCTACTAGTTACCAGTTGCTGCCAGCCAGCCCCCTGCTCAGGCAGGACAGCTCTGTCCTTGGCTTAGCTAGTTAAAGCTTCAGGATACTGACTGGGATGCCATGTCCAACGTCACTGACCCTGATTTTGACACGAGGCACCATTCCAAACACACCTGATATCTAAGCTTAGTCCCCTCTCCTGCACTCATCTACTACTGGGTGCCTGGGCCTCCCTTCCTGCCCATTCCCCATGATGGAGTGTCTGATCCCTCCAGAGAAGAATGTTGTGCCCCTGCTCTGCTATGCTGCTTAGGCTGGAGGGGCAGCGTTGGGGAGCAGGCGCCAGCCAGAGGGCCAGTGTGTCACCTCTACTGTCTGTTGCCTTGTCTTTTCAGGCAGTAGATATGGGTGAGCCCAGAGGGCAGGACAGCTCTGGGCGAAGGGGCCCTGCACGGAGAGGGGCACGGGCCCCCAGGCCAGGCTCCAGTGAGCTGGGTGAGTGCCTGAAAGGGGCTGGCTGGGCATGAGGGGCCTCCTATGACCCCTTGCCCAGAGCTCATGGAGATGCTGCCTCTCTCTCCAGCCTCTCTGAGGAGCCCCCCGGAAGAGGTGCTCGCCTCCCAGGACCTACCTGTGAGGCTCTTTGTGGCTCTGTTTGATTACGACCCTGTGTCAATGTCACCCAACCCTGATGCTGGGGAAGAGGAGCTTCCCTTCCAGGAGGGGCAGATTCTAAAGGTGACTGGGCTTAACTCCCAAATCCAGCCAACTGTCCCTCCTCTTTCCCCTCCGGAGCCATCAGTGTCAAGATGGGGGAAACTGCTTTTAGATCCAGGCTCTGTCACTGGGAAATCTTGGGTAGATTATCTAACCCCTCTGTGCCTCCTCATTGGCAAAATGGGGCAATATTAGAGCTACCTCACAGGGTTGTTTGAGGAATAAATGATTCTATAGATACAAAGTCCTTGTACTCCCTGGCACATAGCACACTGAAACTGTTTCCCACTGTTAGCATTATTTTTTACTATTCCTCCAAGTATTTATGAAGTCCTGGTATGATGTTGTAGGATGAGCACTGAACTGCTAACCACAAGGTAGGCGGTTTAAACCTAACACACACACACACACACACACACACACACACACACACACACACACAGAGAGAGAGAGAGAGAGAGAGAGAGTTTGCTATTACTCCCAGGTTAGAGATCCAGTCTGGGGTGGGTTGGGGAGTAGACAGGTAGACATTGTTCTGCTGGCCCAAGTATGGTGCTGCTGGTGTTCAAGGCCTGGGGAATGGTCTCCTGTCTTTGTCTCCAGGTGTATGGGGACAAGGATGCCGATGGCTTCTATCGGGGTGAAGGTGGGGGCCGGATGGGCTTCATCCCCTGCAACATGGTGGCAGAGGTGTCTGCGGACAGTCCTGCGGGGAGGCAGCAGTTGCTCCAGCGGGGTTACCTATCTCCAGATGTCCTTGTTGAGAGCTCAGGTATGACCTGCTGTGTCCACCTGCCATCACCCTGTTCCATCCCATGCTCGTGCTGAGGACTTTGTGTGTCTGGAGTGACTGGGTACCTCAGGGTCTTGTGGATACTAAGACAAGTGTGGCCTTGCCATGGGTGCATTGTGTACCTTGGGGCTTTTTGCTGGGGTTGGGGGTGAATGTCCTTAAAATATTCTGAGGAAACTCCCAGAGTCACTGTCCTGACCCCGCCTCCCCTGCCTCAGTTTCTCTCTGACACCTACTTGCCTTCCTGGATCAGGAAATGGCCCTCTTGTGTACTCCACAGCCCGCACAACTGGGCCTCCCCCAAAGCCCCGCCGCTCCAAGAAAGGTAGGTGAGACTCTCACCCCCTCCATGTTGGTAACCTGTGTGCTGGGTGGGTGAAGGTGCTCTGCCTGATCTCAGGAGTACTAACAGACTTTCATGCACTTCTCCCCGCCTAGTGGGAGGCTTCTGTCTCATGGGAATGGGGGAGGGGGGTAGTCATGACTTTTGCTCTGAAGAGCCCTGGTTTATGAATTCTGTGCAACGTGAGCATGTCCCTTATCCTCCTTGGGCCTCAGTTTACCACCAAGCTGGGCTTAGTGTTTTCTGAGCACCCTCTCCTCATCCTTTGTCAGAGGACCAGCACTTTGCCTGCCCTGTACCACCCCGGTCTGGGGTGAGGCTGGAAGTGGGGGGCAGAGCTCTCAGCACACTCTTTTCACAGCAATGCTGGATGCTCCTGCCCTGCCCTGCCCTGCCCTGCCTAGGTGAGGGATTGCCACTGGGCAGAGGAGATTGGGCAGGAGGGATGCGACCCTTCTGCTTTCTCTCCAGGATAGGCAACTAGTGCGGTGGTGGAGAATGGGAGTCAGCAGGCCTCCAGTACAAATGATAGGACTGGTGGGCAGTGTCTAGAGACTTCTGAGCATTCTCTCCCTCCTCCCTTAGGCCCCCCCAAGCCGGTCTCCTCTGCTGGCCTGAAAGTTCCCCACCCCATGGTGGCAGTGTTTGACTACAACCCCCGGGAAAGCTCTCCCAACATGGACGTGGAGGTGAGGACTTTCAGATAGAGCACAAGCGAACTTGGGCGATGGCAGGACCTCCCAGGACCTGACACCTGCTCTTGGTCTCCACAGGCGGAGCTGCCCTTCCGAGCAGGGGATGTCATCACTGTGTTTGGGGGCATGGACGATGATGGATTCTACTATGTGAGAATAGGAGGGTGCACTGCACCCCACCTCATTGGCCCTTCACAGAGAACTCTTGGGGGAAGATGAGGGTGGGCAAGTGTCCAGATGACATGTCCCATGACAGTTATGTTCCCCCAGGAGCTTCAGGGACAGTGGGGGCAGGGCTGGGGGAACATAGGAGGAGGCAGTCCACTTCTTCCTGGTCTCATTCTCACCAGCATCTCTTCCCCAGGGGGAACTGAATGGAAAAAGGGGTCTTGTTCCATCCAACTTCCTGGAGGGTCCCGGACCTGAGGACAGGGAGCCAGGGAATTCCCTGGCCGAGAATCAGGTCAGTGAGGAGCTGGACTCCCAGCTCAACAGTGTTGTTTCTACCCTTTTGGGGTGGTGGTGGACTGGCACAATGTCATGGAAGGGGACAGCTGGGGTGGTAATATAATCCAACGCTGCCCCAGGGTGTTGACTTATGGCCTGAGGATTACTGTGGAGAAGTAGGAAAAGCTCTCTCCGACTGCTTGGAGTTGGGGTGCTTGTCCTTATCTGCAGAGGTGTGATTGCTGATCTCCAGGGCATTGACCCCACTACGCACACTCTGAGCAGATGCAGTGCAAAGAAGGGGGATGGACACGCAGTGGGAAAGGATCCTCTAGCCAATCACAGTGCTCGTTTCAGGGCCACCCTCCTTACCTCTGGTCTCCCAGGAGCCTCTCTGCTTTACGGCCTCAGTGTTTTAAAACAAGCAAGGCCTGAGTTCCTGGGTTCTTATTTTCAGAGCTTACCTCTCCGTGGAGTGGGTGGGATACAGTTCAGCTTCTAGCCTTAGAGGGGCCAGGCCCTAACCAGAAAACCTCGGACTGCCATCGGCACTAGTTGCAGAGCTCTCAATCAGACATGCCTTTGTGACCTGGGTGACAACCGGGTGGAGAGTGGACGCCTCTGACGGTAACCATCTCTCTTTGGTCCCTGTTCTCAGAGAACGAGGAGGAGAAGAGTCCAGTGCTAGATGGAGATAGATAGATGTAGAGAGAGCAACATGTAAGTGGGGGGACTGGCCTCCCTACATCCCATGGAACTCCCCGCTCCCCATTTCACCACCATCAGTTCTGCTCTGTCGCAGATGCCCAAGCTCAGCTGGCTCTTCCGCTTTCTCCCAGAGAATGGAAGAGGGAGACCTCGCCTTGTGTCAGATTTGGGTATAGAATCATTCTCCACCCCCTCACTGCTCCCCTTACCTTGCCTTCACCCTGGGCAGTACCAGCTGTCATGGGAATATATAAGTCATCTTTGTGTGATGTCATATTAGCGGATTCCTTATGTTCTATAACACATACAGCTTATAGAATATTACATGTGACTCATCAGTGTGTTATGATATTATATGACTATGGTACTATAATATTGTGATTATTATCGGTGATAGAAAGATGACTCTCTAATGGGTATCACCAGTAATAATAATCTCCTCACCCCTGTCTTCTCCATCATGACTTGGTAGGGTGATCACATGTATGATTTTACTTTAAACTCAATTTTCTCTGTTTTGGGGGATGGAAGGGAAAACTCCAACAACAAATCCATAGATAACTCCACGGTTATCTTCTCTGAGCCCCTCCTTTTGTTTCCCCAACAATCCCTCCCACCTGGAAAAGCTGGGGAAGGACCCCTGGGAGAGAGGAGTGTTTGGGAGCTTCCCAGCTTTGCTGAAAGCCCTGCTTGGTTGGCAGTAGGTGCAGACCTTTTGTTGGGCAGTTCCTGCCTCATATCCCAGGCTGGGAGGCTGCCATTCTCTGGGTGGGGATGGGGGACAGCAAGAGTTTGAGGAGAGGGAGAGCATTCAGGCTGGCCAGGGCCTCATATGGGAATGTTCATGGAGATAGACTTCAGGTGGGCTCCCCTGTTCACCGACTTCCTGCCCTTAGGCCACCCAACAAGCAGACAAGCACTGTCTGGGAGGACATGCGGCTCAGGGGTCTGCTCAGGGCTGTAGGTGGAGTGGAGGAGAAGCTCTGGAGACTGCAGTGCCCATCCCTTCCCTCCCCTGGGCCAGGTTCCCTACTGTCTTCACAGAAGCCGTTCAAAGGAGGAACATTATTTTCCTTTCTCTGCCAGTGGAATGGGTCCTGGCATGGAACACTGAATGGTTTAAAATGAAGAAAGGTGTACGACAGGATTGTATTCTTTCACCATATTTATTCAACCTGTATGCTGAGCAAATAATCCAAGAAGCTGGGTTATGTGAAGGAAAACATGGCATCAAGATTGGAGGAAGACTCATCAACAACCTATGATAACGCAGATGATACAATTTTGCTGAAAGTGAAGAGGACTTAAAATACTAATGAAGATCAAAGACCACAGCCTTCAGTATTGATCACATCTCAATGTAAAGAAAACAAAAATCCTCACCACTGGACCAATAAACAACATTCTTATCAACGGAGAAAAGATTGAAGTTGTCAAGGACTTCATTCTTCTTGGATCAACTATCAACATTCATGGAAGCAGCAATCAAACGACATATTGCATTAGGCAAATCTGCTGCACAAGACCTTTTTAAAGTGTTAAAGAGCAAGGATATCAGCTTGAGGACTAAGGTGCACCTGACCCAAGCCATGGTATTTTCAATAACCTCATATGCATGGGAAAGCTGGGCAGTGAATAAGGAAGACCGTAGAAGAATTGATGCTTTTGAGTTATGGTGTTGGAGGAGAATATTGAAAGTACCATGGGCTGCCAAAAGAACAAACAGATCTGTGTTGGAAGAAGTGCAACCAGAGTGTTCCTTGGAGGCCAGGATGGCCAAACTTCGTCTCTCATACTTCGGACATATTGTCAGGAGGGACCAGTCGCTGGAGAAGGATATCATGTTTGGTAAGGTGGAATGTCAGAGAAAAAGAGGAAGATCCCCAGTGAGATGGATTGGCAAAGTGGCAGCATCAGTGGCTCAAGTGTGGCAACAGTAGTGAGGTTGGCCCAGAACTGGGCAGTGTTTCGTTCTGTTGTGCATAAGGTCGCGCTATGAGTCGTTACTGACTTGATGGCACCACCACCATCAACAACCACACCCTGAAGGCCCTGGGCCTGGGCAGGGCTGCCTTTTGGCACCACCCATGAGGTGCTGTTGGAACTGCCTCCCTTGAAGGGAACCAGCTGTCTCTTGAGTAGTCCTTGTCCTCACCTCCCTTCACTGGAGGGAGCATCCATCCCCAGGGTCAGGTGTGCTGTTAGACAGTGCCTGCTAGTGAGACCCAGAGAAGCAAAGGAGTCACAAGTAAACAGAAGCAGAACCGAGATACCCAACCAACTCAACGCCCCTAGGCTCATTCCATTGTCTCACCTCTCTGTGCTATGTGTGTAGGGTCAGGGTGGGCAGGGGAGGGGTCCTCTGACTCTCTTTCTTGGATTTGGGAGGTGAGAGCCTGCAGGTGCATGAGGTTGTGAGAAAAAGTCCGGGGATGGGGCAGACTCTGATCTTGCCCTTTTCTCTCCTATTCCAGGACTGGACCAGCATGACACCAGCACCCCCAGACTGGCCCTGTGCCCCTGGCCCTGGGAGCCCCTCCAGGACTCAACTGGGGGAGCCACAGGGTACGAGTGAGAAGATAAGGGGTCTCCTCTCCAAGGGAAAGCAGCTCCTCAGGAAACTGGGCTCTGGGAAGAAGGAGTGAAACTATGGCCCACCCTGCAGGCAGAAGTGGCCCCCTAAGGCCCCCAGAGACCCCAGAAATCTGCCCTGATCGAGACAGGGAAGACCCCAGACTGGGCCCAGGCCTCTTGCTCTTCAGAATTAACACTCTGGATGGATGGGTCTACTAGATGTATCCCTGAGAATAATCAATCTTCTTGATGGGCACCTTCCTCTTACTGGAGGGGAAACAGAGGCCTGAAGAGAAGAAGTAACTCTGCCAAGGTCTGCAGACCTCAGTCCTAGAGCCAGGGCTGGTTGTGGGACTTCTGATTCCTAGTCTGATCCCTTCTCCAGTTGTCCCCCTTCGCCCCCATCCACTCCCAGGGTAGGGAGCCTGGGGAAGAACGATCAGTTCCCTCAGATAGCTCTGGTTATTCTGATGTTGTCTTCCCTCCCCTGAAGGAAAGTTTGCACTGGATCCTCCCCAGCCCCACCTCCCCAAGGGGCAGGAGGGGCAGAGCCCTGTATATATGTACATACTCAGTGCCTCAGCCCAGCTTCCTCCATCTCGCTTCCACTGCACAGGCCCTGGAAGGAGAACGGCCATGCCAAAGCGGGCCTAACCCTATCCCATAGTGCTCCACCCCTCCTTGCCAGCCCGGCCTCTGGGCCCCCTGCGTGTTTGCACCCCAAAGACCCAGGGACCTGTGGGCAGAAAGCAGGAGTTGGGTTTGCCTTATTTTGCTCATTGGATTCAACTTCTCTTTTGCATCATTTTCTTCTGGCCCCCATCGAGTCCAGGGGCTGGGGGGAAGGACAGACATATGAAGCTATTTTCATACATTCCTTGTTTAGAGTAGGGTGGGGAGTTCTCCACCCTTCCTTAACCACCCTACCCTCTACCCTATGGCTGGGTGAGTGTCTCTTTGCATGTTTCCTTTGTTGTGGTGGGAGATTGTTTGAGTGAACCCCCACTTCTACCCTGGTCTCCAGGGGTATGGGATGGTGGGGCATTTGTTTAAAAAGACATTTTATTATAATAAAGTCTATTTTCACAAAATCTATGCTGGACTCTATGTGGGGCAAAGGACTGTGGAGGGGTGGCTCACACTGGGTTTTGGACATGACTTCAGAACCCAGAAGTTACACACAAAGGAAGCTAGGCAAACACTATTCAACACCAAGAGGACTAAGCAGCTGTGATTTAGAACCGACACAATGGCAACTGACAAGAACATATTGCAACAGTTTTACTTCTTTTTCAAATCTTATTTCTTTTTCTTGCCTCATTGCACTGGATGGAACCCCCAGTACAACCTCCAGATGAATAGAAATGGCAAGAGTGAATATTCTTGCCTTGTTCCTGATCTTAGGGGGAACACATTCAGTCTTTCATCCAGTAAATATGATGTTAGTGATATGAGCTTTTGTAGATATTCTTTATTTGGCTGAAGAAGTTTCCTTATATTTCTAGTCTGCAGAGACTTTTGTTATTGTTGTTACTGGTGTTTTGTTTTGCTTTTAAATCAGGAATGTAGGTTAGATTTTGTCAAATGTTCTGCATTTAATGGAGTGGACCTGTGGTTTCCTCACCTTTCCCTGGTTAGCGTCTAGTGCTGCTATATAACACCCATCCCCCAAAACTGCTACTGGTTTTGAGGTACTGTTTTCCTGCAGTTATAACAGAATTGATGCTGATTTGATGAGGGTGATGTGGTATAGACAGAAGGGCACACCTAGAAAGTATCCCAGCCCACATGGAGGCACCTGGTCCTGCTCTCTGTTCCTTTATCGTTTTCCTGATTAGGTACTGGGGGTTTCCCACAGTTCTTGCAATTTCCTGGTTGACAACAATTTCCCTCTCACTTCCATGGCATCTCCAGGAACAGGCTTGGCAGGTGGATCCTGAAGCCCATGTTGATTCTGCTTTGCTTGGAATAGGAGTTACTATCTGTATTTCAGGAATTAGAAGTTTCCTTGTAACCAAATGAGCCCTAGTGGTGTTGTAGGTTAGGCAGTTGGGCTGCTAACCTCAAGGTTGGTGGTTCGCACCCACAAGCTGCTTTGAAGGAGAACGATGAAGCTGTCTGCTCCTATAAAGATTTACAGGTTCAGAAACTTAGTAGGGTTGTTAAAGCGTCACAATTGGCTCAGTGATCATGTGTTTGGTTTTTTGGGTTTGGTTTTGCAACAGAAAACTTAATAGCAATATTCCATGCATGAAGTTAAGAAGCACTATCTTCCAAGTTTAGAAGGGAACGAAATTTGAAACTAGAATTTTACTCTTAGTCAACTATCAGCCACATTACCCCAGGCTCCCACAGGAAATAAATACTCACAAGTGCTACATACAGTAAGCCTCCAGTTACCAACTT